TCTCCATGTGTCTTGATACTGGAGCGGATAATAGCATTGTACCAGTCAATTTCGTCAAAATAATTCAAGAGCGGAGCAAGGACGTGAAGATCTTGCAAATTACGAACCCGCCGGTGGTCAAAGCAGCGGGACATTAGCGATTGACGTGCACATCGACGGTGTTCCTGGACCTACAGATCCGTACAGCGGCTGGGCCAGTCAATGTCCATAACGTCAAGTGCTATGTCTTGGAAGAAGGTGATGACCAGTTCATACTGGGCAAAGATGTTCTGGAGGCATTTGGAATCAATGTCAAGTCAGCTTTGGAACAATTGGCCAACAAAAGCATTGAACTGAATCGTGATGACCTGCCAAACAAACCAGAAGTTGGTGATCTAATTGATGAAGAAGTGAATGTGGAATTCAAGCGGAGTGTGACAAATTTACGGTTCTGACCAGTGACGAGACTCGACGCATCTCAACGCGAATCTCCTCGATATCCACGATACATACAAGCGGCTATGGAGAACTAAAGTTGGTCCAGACGAACCAGCACTTGTGGAACCACTACGAGTGACGCTAGTGGAAGGCGCTCAGCCGATACAATGCAAACCACATCGCTATCCACCAGCTCAAATGGCGTTCCTCGAGGAGCATGTGGAATTGTTGCTGAAGTCCGGGTTTGTGAAGCGAAACAACCACAGTCGTTGGGCATCAAACGCAGTTCCTGTCCAAAAGCATGACAACAAGGATCAGTTTCGCATTACGAACAACTATATCGGTGTCAACAAGCCCACTGTTCCAATAGCGGGGACGATGCCGCATTTCTCTATTGTTCTTCAATTCGTAGCCGGTGCAAAGTATTTCGCCAAGTTTGATATATTCAAGGGTTTCTGGCAGATGAAGTTGGCCCCTGAGTGTCACGAGTTCTTCAGTTTTATGACTCAAGATGAAGTCTACACGCCACTTAGAGTGCCACAGAGAGCAACCGATTCGGCGCTCCATTTCCAGAATCAAATGCAAACCATCTACAAGCCGCTGCTTTACAGAGGCGCTTTGGTGTGGATTGACGACGTGATCGTGTACGGCACTACGAAAGCATTGTTTTGTTC